CGCTTCATTTGAAGATATAATTCATTATCACCCACCCAACCCAAGCTACGCTCTACCCAGGAAAGTTTTGCTTTTAATCTCTAAAGAAAATGAGCTCTGAGCGGCACGGCTTCGCTTGGCAAGACAAGACAGCAGCGGAAGTATGCCGCCACTTTTGTTTTTGAGCCAATTGACTGTCTCTTAAAGCGTGCAAAGTCACCTGTAGGTTTAAGTTACTACGTGGTAAATATTATATCTTCAAATGAAGCGATTCATATAATAATGATCGAACTTCACTTGAGAAGTTCGTTTGATCTTATATAATCCATTAGAGCTACTAGAGTTTCAATACCTCCGTCACAACTGTGAAATACTTACAGAAATATGTTATGACAAATACATATCTACTCTTGAACACGAAATAGGTAGAAATTCTAAATATTTTTGGACACAAACGTTAAAACTCTTTTGGATAAACACCATCAATTTAAATACATTGATAAATAGGAGACAAACAATAAAACGAACTAAAAGAATTTTGTAACTTATTTGCAGCGCAATATTGCAGTGTCTATAACACCCCAACAAATATCGCTATATTTGCTCAATTCGCAGCAATAGCTTCCTGAAATGTCCAATAACATATCCCAAAAAGCATAATAAATGAAATAAAAAGAATTGATATAAAACATAGTGCTGGACCTGACAATTAGCCCCCTATATTTTTGATTAAATGTGCAAATTCAATATCCTACCCCTTACAACTAATTTATAACGATACACTTAAGACAGGGAGTTTTCCCGATAAGTGGAATGAAACACGAATAGTACCCATTTATAAAGATGGAAAAAAGGAATTTGTATCTAATTATCGACCTATATCAATCCTCTCTACCGTATCAAAGATTTTTGAATTACTTGTCCTCCCATTTATATCCAATTATGTTAAAGACCACCTATATCCCTGCCCACATGGTTTTATGCCTAAGAAGTCTACTAATACTAATTTTCTCAATTATGTTTCCAATATTATTGATTCGGTTGACAAAAACCTTCAAGTACTAAGGCATTTGATAGGGTGGACCATAATATATACTTGTTAAAAAACTCGCATATTTTGGTATTTCTGATACATTTTCAAGCTGGTGCAAATCCTATCTCTCTAATCGAAATACCAGAGTAGTAATTGATGGCGAGTGTTTGGATTCTTTCAATGCTATTTCTGGTGTGCCGCAGGGATCAAATTTGGGGCCTTTATTGTTTTTTTTGTTTATTAATGATGAAGTAAATGTATTTAAAAATTGTCAGGTTTATTTGTTCGCAGAAGATTTAAAAATAGCTAAAGTTATAAAGAATAATCTGACGTAATGGACCTACAAACGAATCTTGATAGACTTGTAAAATGGTGTGATACAAATCGAATGCTGCTCAATCCGGGCAAATGTAGTTTTATAAAATACACAAGAAAAAAATACATTAATAAGTTCTTACAATATTTTGTGTAAGAAACTGAAGGAATCCGATTACATTAGAGATCTGGGCGTAATATTTGAGAGAAAATCAAGATTCGATAATCATTAATTCTATAGTGACTGGTTTCTTCAGGTTAATCGACTTTGTTCTTAGACAGTCTAAAGATTTCTAAAAGGTAACAACAGTACTTCAAATGTACAACAGCTTGGTGCGTAGCAAACTTGAATATTGTTGTCAAGTATGGTCTCCCGCTTACAAAATCACATTGAAAGAACGTGTTCAAAAGAAGCTCATTAAAATCCTATTCTTTCGTTTTAAGGCGTCAAGTCATAGTATGTGTTACAAAGAGAAATTCGATTACTTTAGGATGAAACCACTGGCAGTTCGTAGATCTATTCTTGATATGAAATAAATCTTCATAAACTTTTCAATGGTAAAATTGATGACAGTGAGCTGTTGTGTAGATTTAATATTAATGTATCTCGGAAACCTCCTCGCAACCCATGTCCTTTATTGAAGACTGATAGCACTCGAACAAAACTTGCACAGAATTCTCCAATAACACGTATATCACGCGTATACAATGTATGTGTAAGAAACATAGCAACACTGGACATTGCTTGTGACGGGCTAACACTTTTTTATGAAAAAATGTAACGACAGCTTAGAAAATTGATTGGTCACTATCTTCATGCAAAACTTTACTTTTATTTATTTTTCGAAAACTTATTTTTTTCCTACAACTCACTAACCGAATAAAAAGATTTATTAACTAGCCACTTTTTCAACTCGTTTCCGAAACGCTTCCTTGGTTTTAGTTTTATATTACTGGGTATGGCGTTAAATACTTTTATGTACATTGCATAGCAATTTTTATGATAATTAACTTTTTAGTATTTTATCAATGACTAATTTATCTGGATTCCTTAAAAGTTTAGATTTGATAATATCTCCAGCAGTTATAAACAGCTCAGGATTATTTTTCATAAATTATGGTGTTTCGAGGATGTATTCAAGGATGTATGCAAGGAAATATTAACACTTAAATTTCTAAATATTGGTTTGCACGATTCATGATCCATACTACATATTGCACGTAGGCATTTTTTACACAATAAAAAGTTTATTGATGTCTAAAGAATTACGCCATATTATTATACCGTAGCTAAGTATATAATAAACGTATTTTTTACGTGGTAGAGGCATGCTGCAGCTATATTGATAGTATAATTGTAGCACGAATGGGTCGGCTTGACCGGGGAAGGACCACGTTCTCACAGAATACCAGCGTAAAATAGCAGTTTAATTCTGCTGTGTTTCGTATGGTGAGTGTAGAGAACCGGAGAACCGATTTTACTGGAAAAGAGGCATTCGATATTGGTCCTCACGGCTGACAACGCATCTGCATTTTAATTCGCAAACGAATATAGATGTCGATGTCTATGAGCCACAGTAATCACTTACCATCAGATGGACTGTGTGCTCGTTTGTCACCCTTATTCTATAATAAAAAAAAACGTATCCGTAATACGCCATAAGAGCTGTTGATTGCTATACCGTCTTTGAAAGGTTCCGTTATATGTAAACAAAGCGGTTAAGTTTATATCATACTTTATCAATGTGAGTTTTCAAGTTACAAAATGTTATGTATACCGAGAAAGGAAATTTTTTGTACTTTATTTGTTCGCCATTGTATACAATATTCAGCTTTATTTCATTATTTTTTTATTAAAAAAATTTATTAAGTTGGTTTTACCTATTTGTAAATTATTATGTTCTAACCATTCAATTATTAATTTCAAAGAATTATTAATGTCATTAGATTTTTTGTTACATATCAATAGCATGGCAATATTATATTATCTGCAAATAAAGTCAATAAATTATTCTTTATATGAGAGATGCCATTAATATACAATAAAAATAAAAGTGGACCAAGTACACTGCCCTGTGGCACGCCATATCCATTAATTAGGTACGGTGATTTATACTGCTCAAGTTCCTTATTATAATTTAACCTTAAAGTTTCTACACTTTGTTTTCGATCTTTAAGATATGATATTATCCAATTTATTACCGCTCCGCGAATGCCGATGTAAAACGCAATCAAAGGCTTTACTCATATCTATGAATATTATTGAAGTTTAATTTTGTCATCTAAATTATTAACAACCTTTTTTACATGATGCAAACATGCATGGGTAGTTGATTTATTGCTTTGGAATCGAAATTGTTCATTTATTATAATATAAAATTTTGAATTGAATTATATTATGCGCTTGTACATTACTTTATCAAATATTTTGGAAAAAATTGGCACATAGGGCGCTATTATGCATACAGTAATCTATGATGGGGCGATAATTACACATATGACGTTTATCATCAAATTTTGATAAAATTAGATAATAAACGTCAATAAAATTGGTAGTACATAGTAATTTGTAGATGTAGTGTTAGAAGTAATTTAATACGTACAACTGTTGGAGATCCATACAAATAAATAAATAAGGTACTATAATAGGAAGAATAGTGGTATTTTTTTTATAGGATAGGGGTGACAAACGAGCACACAGTCCATCTGATGGTAAGTGGTTGCTGTGGCCCATAGACATCTACATCTATCTTCGATTACGAATCAAAATACAGATGCGTTGTCACCCGTGAGGACTAAGATGGAATGCCTCGTTTCCAGTAAAAAGGGTCTCCGTTTCTCTACACTCACCATACGAAACACAGCAGCGTTAAGCTGCTATTTTACGCTGGTATTCCGTGAGGTATGATTTGTATGGTAAGACAAGTTTTTGTTTCGGCTAATAGTATGATTTTGTGTTCTTATATTGAACAAATGGGCTTGTCCACAAATTTAATCAACTCTTTTTTTGTTCTGTGATAGACTTAGTAGCGTGTTCATGATACATGATAAATTGGTTATTTTTACCTCAAGCATTACTTGGATTGAAAATGCAAGATATACGGATGTCTAGCATTGGGAATTAATGAACAATGAACCGAAAGAAAATGCCTCTATTTAAAAATATCAGTTTACATAGGTAACCTTGACTACAAGACAGAATTTAGATTCCGAAAATTTACCTTACGCTTCACATGTTTTATGATCAGTAGCGTAGCTAGGCGTGGGCGAAGTGGGCCCTCGCCCACGGCCTCGTACTTAAAGGGGCCTTGCGAGGCCCCTTAAAATGCGATGCCCACAGACTACAGATGACTAATTAATTTGATCACCTTTACGCTCGAAAAAGAACGTCACGAATTTAAAAGCGTGTACGTTTGGGGCCTCGCAAGAAGCCCCTCTTAAGTGTGACTGCGAGGCCGTTGTAACTCTACCTTCGAAGACTGCGACCGTTAGATTGACGGAATATGAGACTTGGCAGAAATTAATAGCTATGAGTCGGTATGTCGTGTTAAAACATGTTTTGTAGGATAGATCTTAGGAACAAAAGAAAAGGGGCGTCGCTGATGTGACTTCGCCCACGTCTATATTAGTCCACGCTACGACTCTGTTTATAATAATAAAATAATTATCTTACCACCAAGGGTGTAGGGTGAAATTCTTTTTTGAGAAAATTCTTGGCTTTAACAATATCTTTGTATGTAATAATCATTGGATAGTCCGGATCACACCAAGGATCAAATTCATTATTTTGTTCCTAAAAGAAACGAAACAAATATTTAAGTAATTATGTGCCCACCGCCACATTTGTTACATGTTGTCACATTTTCCTTTTCACTGCTTATTATTAATTTATATTATAAGTGTATCTAACGTCTTATGATAAGCTAAAGTATCTTCTTTATAAATATTGTAAGGAAAATTGTTAATATTTGTAGCGGCGGGGTAACATTTTGATGACACTGACTTAATAATAATTTCTCACAATAAATTATGACATGTTATTTGCTCACGCTGCAACTATATAATAGCGCATATTCCAAGACCTGTAAGTTTCAGCCGCACCGTGTAAGTCCCTTCTTGGGAAAAGGTGCTCTTTACCCTTATGAGAGCCGCGAGCGGGAACTTAAGGCCTGTTTTCGCTTTCGGTACAAGGCCTTCAGTACAGGTACAGGTATCAAAAAACGTGCACTTGGCAACACCAACGTTCCTGACCTCAAGGGCAGATCTGGTGTAGGGTTTTCGCGTTCCCGGACTTATTTTCCTATAATATACTTTTATAATATATCGATAAAGTTAATCATATCAAACCAAAAAAAAAATACTTTTTTTTACCAAACTACTACTGAATTTTCTTTTTAATTATTTTATGCTACCTCTAAGTAACTGAAAATTAGCTACCTAAAGCGAGTTAATTAAATGGCACTTGAAAATTACTGGCTAATGGACTGGAAAGGCTATGATGTCAATATCTAGGACCTACATAATATATTTTTTCACCATAGCCCTTTTTTTTACATTTGTATATTATTATCAGGACGATACAATCGAAAGGATGGTGAAAAACATAAAATATTCATAGACTTGAAACTAAAACGAAATAAATAGGAATCGTAAAGTTTTAACTTACCGGTACGCTAGTAAGACCTATATAAGTCAATGCTTACCGGACACCATTCATTTAAGTGCTTCGTGAAATTTCGATTAGCTAGAGCACCGGGTGATTTGCCTAACGAAACGGTTTGAGTTGAAGGATTGTGCATTTTGAACATAGCACTTACATATTTACTTTATATTTTGTGATGTTAGCCAAATAGCTCAGAACAATAGGTTGACTTGTGTTTGTTTTTAAAGGAGTTTGTTTTGTATTGACAGTAGACTTATATAATCATAGAGTATTAGCATATAAGTATGTTCTTTCTTGATAATCGATGGATTGTCTTAAAACGGAGTAATTATATACTCTTTGTCTAAGACTCTTAATATGTGGGTCAGTAGTCAGTACCACCTTCTCACTTATTTCTAACGAGTAATATCTGTTCTGGTCTGGAGGGTATAGAGAGCCAGTATAATTACAGGTTTTGGGACATTTAACTATAGTCCTCAGAAGTGACTTTGAAGGACTCCTTTGTCGTATCTTCTCAGTTTCAAGGCACTCCCCTTGTTGCATCAACCAGTATCGGAATCCTCCGCGTAGACATATCGAGTGACATGCAGTTTCGTGGTCACTTGGTCACTATCATACAATTTCGAAATTTCAACATAAAATAACACGAGCCATAAATAAGTTACAAAATATGAATGACGTCATTCAGTAAAGTTCCCCGTAGCTGAGATTTTTATATTTGAATATTATAATATAACCTAATTCTATATTATTTAATGTTTATTTTTGTAGTATTGCTCAAATGACCTAATATTTATATGTTGTTTTATTAATTGTTATTTTTATTATTAAAACATTATTTTTGTTTATTAGGGTTCCGTACCCAAAGAGTGTCAACGGGACCTAAGTTTCCACTATCGTTCCGTCTGTCTGTCAGCAGGCCGTATTTTATGAACCGTAATATACTTGAATTTTTCACAGAATGTGTATTGGCTAATTGTATTGCTGCTATAACAACATATAATAAAAATAAAATAAAATAAAATATTAAAGGATCCCTAAATCACGTTTCTTGTATGAAGACCATAGAAGAAACGTGATTTTTTCTGTATTGATATGTGTTTTATTTACAGACTGTAGCGATACCTGGGTTAACACGTAATAAGATGATGCTGTGTGTATGGTGGGATTGAAAGCATATCGTTTATCATGAGCTTTTACTGCCTGGTAAAACCATCGATTCTGATCTATACTGCCAACAAATAATGAGACTCAAGCAAGAAATAGAAAAAAAAAACGGTCGGCGTTGATCATCAGAAAAGGATTGGTCTTTCATCATGATGAAGCCATACCACAAGATTAGTTATCTGTTTGAGACTTTCAATATACACAAACATTCCTAAAAATCCAGTATTTGCTTTTTTTATTCCTTAAAACTGGTTTAAAACTTTTAATCATTATTTTCTTTTGTTGCTTGTGTTGTTTAAACGAAAGCTTTCTGGAGGTTTTACTATTTAAGTTTATAATATATTGTTTCGCATGTTCTAAATAATTAAGAATATTATTTTTATTTCCATTATAAATGCGATGACTAAATCCATGTTGCTTCAAATCTCTGGTATTGAATATATCTAATAAAACTACTTGTCGAATTTTTTTGATCAAAAATCCCAAGATTTCTACAGCAACGCGATTATGTCACTACCTACAAGATCGCAACAAGTTATCGAACAAAATGGACCCTATATAATATAGTATAATTAAATGTAATAAAACTTTAAAATAAAAAAAATGTCTTGAATTTGTATATAAAATACGAACCAACTTTTTCCCCGACCTTATATACTAAGTAAAAAAAAGTGCCCGTAAACATGAATAACTTTATTATGGGATCATCTTCGAAATTTTCAATCTATACGTGGTAGAGCCATACTGCAGCTATATTACTGGTATAGTTGTAGCACGAATAGGTCGGCTCGACCGGAGAAGGACCACGCTCTCACAGAATACCAGTGAAAAATAACAGCTTAACGCTGCTTTGTTTCGTATGTTGAGTCTAGACAACCGGAGACCCTTTTTACTGGAAACGAGGCATTCCATCTTAGTCCTCAGGGGTTGCAACGCATCTGCATTTTGATTCTTAACCGAAGATAGATGTAGATATCTATGAGCCACAGCAACCACTTACCATCAGATGGACTGTGTGCTCGTTTGTCACCCTAATCCTGTAAAAAAATCTCAAAATCATTTATTCCATACAGAATTTCGTACAAACTTGTTCAAAATGTATGGAATACCTGATTTTTCTTGCGATTTCGAAGATAGATCTATAGTAAAAGTTGTTCACATTGACGCGTAGAATAGAAATAGAAAGCACATTTTGGTTACACCATATAATATATAACTATTTTTTTAAATAATTTGTGAATATTAGTCAGACATTTCAATATAAAAATTAAACTGATAAAAGTGAGGCCTTATCATTTATATGACATTTATTCAGAAGAAAAACCTATACATAATTAGGTATTAATAAATTAAAATCATAAATTATTTATTTTTAAACTGTACTTTGTATTTAAATCTGGTTATTGGTAAGTCTCTGTAGAAAGTAGCATCACCAGTACGACGGTTTTGTCTCAGTGCTGACCAACCTGCCTGCCCAGTTTTGCACAGAATATTAATAGAGTTTGGTCAGAACAGACAACTCCATACAAATGCACTACCATCTCGTCATATGTGAATCCTAATCGTATTATTACAGAATGCAGTTTATTGATAAACTATGGTTTAAGAAGAGTGATCTTTTGATAGGCTGTAATGAATGAAGAAATATTTGGAAAATCGAAGAGTGCACGCCTCACACGCTTACTGTGTTAAAAATTAAAAATAATAATTGTCTAAAAGAGAAACCTGTTGAAACATATCCATATTATTATTTCCTATTGTGGCGCTGTTTGAGGCAAAATTACACTACAGTACTCGTATGTACAGGAAAGAGAATGAAATACACGGATGAGCATGTGACAAGAAAAGTATGAAAATAGTGACGATAATTTTTACAAGAAAAAAAACGGAGAATCTGATCGTAACTTTTACACAGCGTTGAGTTCAATAACAAAAATAAATAGGTATCCTTTTTTTTTCTTTTTTTTTATAGGATGAGGGTGACAAACGAGCTCACAGTCCACCTGATGGTAAGTGGTTGCTGCGGCCCATAGACGTCTACATATATCCTTTATTACAAATCAAAATGTAGATGCGTTGTCACCCGTGAGGACTAAGATGGAATGCCTCATTTCCAGTAAAAAGGGCCTCCGGCCACCTGCACTCACCAAGCGAAACGCAGAGGTAAACCGGTAAACCTCTACTTCACGCTGGTTTTCTGTGAGGTCGTGGTACCACCCCGGTTCGAGCCGGCCCATCCGTACGGCAGCAAAAGCTGCCGCGTGGCTCTACCACTGCTTAGAATATATGGAATCTTATTTAATACCATTATATATCTTAATCTATTGCCTACATTTCTATTAAGCGAGAGGACTCACCGACGCCCAGACCATCGGACGGCAGTCCATATTTTTTTCAGTTACATTTTTTGTTATGTAATCTAAAGTGAATCAATTAGAAAATGAACTAATCTTATAATTGAATCTCTGTAGTTATTGTGACGTTAATAATAATATGGATTTGATGTCTAGCTAAAAGTATAAGAACAATTTTATGTAGCGAAATTGAGGTATGGCCAAATAACGGGAGTATAGCACTCACGGTCACGTTGTGAGGCGTGCAATTACAAATTAATTCCAATAAAACGCTTTATTGTCAGGTTGGAACCGTTGTTTAATTGTACAGATGAATTTAACAAAACGTATGCGACAGGAGCTGGATTAGTTTTTATATTTTGGTAAACTACTTTTGCATACAAATTGGATTGGGTGCGAGACAGGGTCCACGACGAACGGTGGTCTTCTCCGGATGTACGCCAAAATCTTGGAAGAAATATTCTTTATAATTTTTCTTAATGACATCCATGAGCTCTCTTGTGTGGTCCCACCCTCTTGTTTCCGCTATCACTTTTAACTGTTTTTAAAAGAAAGCAAAATGTGTCTGTAAGTGTATTTTATATTTTCATTTAATGACGAACATTAAAAATTAGCTTTGTTCCTTTTCATTGTTTTATTTATTATGAACTTCTTGATTATTATCGCTATAATCTATACAAATAAATAAAATTGAAGTGTCTGTTTGTAATATCAAAATTTCAGTTTTTTACTAAATGCATATGAAAGTAAATACGGTACTTATAACTAAAATACAATTTTTAAAATTTTTGTCAATCTGTCTGTCTGTTTGTTCCGGCTAATCTCCGAAACGGCTGGACCGATTTTGACGGGACTTTTTCTGGCAGATAGCTGATTTCATAAGGAGTAACTTAGGCTACTTTTATTTTAGAAAAAGAAAAAGAATTAGAGTTCCGCGCAGTAACATAAAAACCCTAACACGCGAGCGAAGTCGTGGGGAACAGCTAGTACTAAATAATACTAAGTCGCTTATCCACGTATGTCTATGTATTCACATAAATCTTTAAAATTATTGGATCAACTTAAAAGGGGTTTTCACCACCAGATTATTGTGCATATTTTTTACAAGGACAGAAGAGAAATTTTAGCGTTTTGTGGTCAAATCGTTAAAACATAACACCATGTAGGCAAATTGAACCTATACGAAGTCGGGAATAGTCGCTCATGTTTTACAAATTTAAAATAGTCAATAACAAAAAATTTTACCTCCTAACTTAAGATTTGATAACCTTAAAAACAAAGTATTATTTTGAGAACTCATTTACAGATTTTATACGCGGTAGAGCCATGTTGCAACTATATTAGTAGTATAGCTGTAGCACGAATGGGTTGGCTCGACCGGGGAAGGACCACGCTCTCACAGAATACCAGCGTAAAATGGTCGCTTGACACTGCTGTTTCGTATGGTGAGTGTAGAGAACCGGAGACTCATTTTACTGGAAAACAGGCATTCCATCCTAGTCCTCACGGTTGACGAAGCATCTGCATTTTGATTCTTTATTGAGGATAAATATAGATATCTATGGGTCACAGCAACCACTTACCATCAAGTGGACTGTGTGCTCGTTTGTCACCCGATCCTATA